TCAGATCCGGGTTCTGATCTACGAGCCAAATATGGGACAGGATCAGGATTACGATCACGGTAGGAATTCCACAAGGCTCCATCCTTGGTCAAACGCTCTGGAACGTGATTTAAAACGGCGGTCTAACGCTGAAGCTACCCAAACGAGTTGAGATCGTTGGCTTTGCGGACGACGTCGTCTTACGGTAACAGGCAAGACGCTGGAATGGATGGAAATGTTGGCGACCGAGGCGGTCGACATGATTGGAAACCTAATGCGTGGAGTGAAGCTGCAGATAGCCCACAACAAAAGCGAAGTGGTATTGATCAATCACTCACTCTTTACAATTCGGTCAGCTCAATAATAGCGTTCGGCCTAGAGACCCAAAAAATGCCATGACACTGTTGCTCCGTAAATTCTCGGGCTTTCCAAATATACGAGGTCTCAAGATTAGACAAGTGAGCAAATTGAATTTTCTTAGTACCTATCTCGAAAGTATCATTTACTTTTTATGTCTAATCTAATCTAATCTAATCGAACTCCAACACTGCCAGTTCTTGAAAGCATCCTGGAAAATGATGGACATACCTCCATAATTCTTCTTGTCTATTTGATATATGTTTCACATCAAAGATGCGTCACACATATCAAAATGGCCAGACCTACTGTGCAGCATTTAAGGGGCAAGATGATTCAGAAAACATCGGGTTACGACGTAATCCTTTGATTACTGGAAATTCCTGATTCCCTAGTTTGAAGTTGTCACGACTAGGGTTCGGTGGTAGATCTTATACCAGTAACGCACCACAAAATGGTGATCTCCCAACGTTACTGGTTTGAAAAGATAAAAATTTACAAAATGGAACGAACTCACCAAGTTTAGTCAATTGAACCTGAATGCTGCCTGACATGTGTTGATGTAGAAGTCCAACTTGTAGACGAAGCTTGACGAAGATAAACATGAACTAGTCCGGTTTATGGTAGTTGCGCGGAATGTCTTCCGTCGATTTGAGATAAACAAATGATGTATGTAGTTGATTTTTGATCGTGGCCAATAGTCAGGTTCAACGCTGCGGCTCAACGAATGATGGGACGCCTCGTGGAGGTTCTACTTGGCTTCGGAACAGCTTCTCAGCGGCAAATAATTAGCAAGCCTCTTCGTGGTCAATAGTCACGTTCAACGCTGCGACTCATAGAATGATGGAACTAATTATAGGACGCCTCGTGGATTCGGAATAGCTTCTAAGTGGCAAATAATAGGGAATGAGGAACTACAAATTGTCTCTTGGGCCTGGTTTTGGCCAGATCAGCAACCGATTATCAAGTATCATTTACTTTTTATTTCTACCAAGCCTAGGCCAAATTTTATTGCGCTGAATGGGCCGTTAAACCGAATTGTAAAGAGTGAGAGATCGAATTAGGACATTGTTTAAAAAATCTTTAACTTGATACAAGTGAGATCTAGAGAAATTTGTTGAAGATCTCAGAGTAAGCAAATGTTTGAAAATTTCGTAGCCTTAACTAACAGAACTCAAAATTAATGATATTTTGTTCCAATATCACGCGTCATTGAGAGCGGAAGTTTTTTATTTGATAGATGATTTTACCAACACTGAAAGCGAATGTCACGTCAACACATTCCTACCCATTCCTTTCTTGACCTATGTTCGGGCGCGGCCGGCGCTGGTATTGCCTAGTTTGTGATCACCAATTTTTACACATTGAGGATGATTGCTAGTCCGAAGCATCGTCTATTGGTTCTCTGTGTAATTACAGCTGACCTAGCAACCATGGGCGGTCAATCATGCTCATGCTCGTGCTCTGAAGAATAAAATGTCTGAATTGAATTCCTAGATAATTCTAAAAATAAATCCATGGAAGTTGTGAAAATAACATCAAGAAGAATTTTAACGTGATTCTGAGTTAAATTGTATGGGGATCAGAGGGATCATGAGGATATTAGCAAGTGAATTTTAAAAATAATTCCAAGAGAATTTTGGTGAGAATTCAAAGATAATTATTATTATTCTTTAGGGGAATTTACGTATTCTCGGTAACCTAAGCAGCGACCTTCTTTCTATAGCCTTTTTCTCTTTGGAACGCACACATATGCAGTATTGGTTTGTTTACAATCTTTTGCTACCACCTGCTCTAACAATTTCAGTCGAAAGAATTGTCAAAAACTGTTTTGAAACGCTTTTACAAAGCTCCAATCTTCTCTAGTGAGAGCGAGTATTGTCGGCAACCAGTTTTTCTTCGGCAACCGTTCCATTTGAACTGCATGTAAATCTGCTGTTCTATTATCGGCAACTCGAAATCAGCTACAATTTGTAGTGCATGTGTTGCATTTCAAGAAAACCTTGCTAGATTGCTTTTTCTCAGTGGTAAAAATATAGTCAGATTGAAGCTGAAAGCATAAAGAATCGTTTGCATGCATTCAGCGAAGTGTTTTCGTAAGAAAATCCAGTGAAAATAGTGTTTCAATTTAGGTTGCCGAAAATAGTCTGTCATGCCGAAGCCGTCATTTCCCCTATATGGTGTTCTGAGGATAATTTATAAAGAAATATACTCTGAAGGATTCCTGAAGAAAGTTTTCTAGTCTAGTCTAGTATAATTTACAATTAGGAGAAAATTTTTGAATAATATTTTGAGAAAATTTCAGAGTGGCCAGTGAATTTTCATTTTGAAATTCCCGGTTTCTCCGGTTCAAATCTTACAAATTTCCCGGTTGATAATATTACAAAAAAAACAAATTGAACGTAATTTTGAAAAAAAAAACGGGCCAACTGTAAGTAAGTTATTTGGGGGAAAAATAAAAGCAACATTACAGAAAGTATTTTTTAAAGCTGAAAGTATCAATTCAACTCTATGAGTCACTTAATGTATTCAGCATATTTCGAGATACTTTGGAAAATCAATTTCTCTCATTTTTTTGAGCTTGATACATCTAATGATTTCAAAGCCCTACAATTTATTGAGTAATAGAGATTAAGGTCATTTGGCCAAATGCTATCTGGATGACTAGGTTGTGACAGAATTGTGTAGAATAAAAGATTTAATTAAAAAAAAATATTTCAGAAAAAAAATGAACCTGATACAAATGAGTATTTTAGAAAATTGTTAGGGATATCGCATAAAGAAGATGTGTCTTCACTCAATTTTCTATACTAGCAAAAGTTTTAACCTTTCCGTACTCGCGCAGATGTAAAAAAATAAACACGAAAAAAATATGTGAAACCTGCATACGCTGGAACTTGCTCAACGTGAAACTAAACATGGCTTATGACATTTAATACCCACGTGCAATAGACCAATACTTGAAGAATATTACTGAAAGGTTATTTACTGAAAGGAATTTATTGAACGCATGAAAAAAAGTGATTTAAAAAGATTCCTAAGATTCTGGGGCTTTGACATGTGTGTAGAGTCTGAAACTAAAAATTTTCTTCATAATTTTTGATTAATAACAATCTTCGTGATGCAAGATTTCAAGCAAAAACTATTGAATAAAATGCGAGATTTTGATAAAATTGCAAAATCACAGATTAAAATAAAAACATACAAATGTGACGTGGAGTAATAACTGTGAAGGCTCTTGAACTTGGAAACATTTTAAGGGTTTTAACAAATTACAGAACAGTCTATAGAATCTTGCGGACAAACTCTGGATTTTTTAGTAAAATTTAAAAGTATTCAAAGTGTTGGTTTCAAACAAATATTGAGGAGGAAACCCATATAATTTTCGAAGGCGAAGTTCTAAGCAGAATTCCACAATTATTCTCACATGAAGTCCTTAGAAGTTGTTAGATGAATTAGAAGAAATTTCTGTGAAGAAGAATGCAAGCTCTAAAATAATAATAAATAATTTTAGATAATTTCAAAAGGAGTTGTGAACACAAAATTAAGGAAAATTCCTACGTGATTTTGAGAAGATTTGTATAGGGATCGTGACATATAAAATTTAAGAAGAATTCCAAGAGTAGTATGATGAGAATTCAACACGAAACAGAGTTCTTTGAATGTTGTGGGGATTTCAACTCAGGTGCGAAAGATTCATCACAGAGGTCCAACAAAATTTATTGCAAAAAAATTGCTTATAATTAGTATGAATGCTGTTTTGAATAGAGTTAAACCAAATTTTGAAAAGAATTGCAAATGAATTAAATAGAATTAAATCGAATAGATTCAAGGAAATTCCAAAAATAATTCAGCGTTTATTAGTACGCGGTATGTTTCTTGGTTAATTTCAGAAAAAATCCATGATAATTCAGAACAGAATTCCAAGTTAGTTCTGGAATTTATGTCATGAGAATTTGGAATAAAATTGCATGGTTATTTTGATTTCGAAGCATCGTCAATATTTTCTTTTAAGACCCATGAATTTTACATCTGAAATTGAAACTACAAAAATCAATTTGAAGTATTGCTGAGTGATTAAATTGACTCGCAGCTCCATGAGCGAATGCGAACGGGTGGTTTTGTTTACTCTTTTTTTCCGTCGGATATAAACGCGTGGATAGGGAAACGAATGGAATGGTGCAACGTTGAACTGTTGAGATTTTTAAGATTGAGGTTACACACAAATCCAGATCATGACATAAACAACAATCGAATTTTAGAACTCTGTTGTCATTTGCTTAATCTGCAAATGCAATATTATGTACGGAAGGCTTCAAATGTTACGGAGGCCTCTTGAAAGATTAGTACTACTAGACTAACACTAGCAAATATTCTCGACTTAGGGCATTGTGCTTGCTAAACGATATGCCAATGTAAAAATTGTTTTGGCTCAGAAAGCTCGCAATTGGTAACTGTGAAGAAGACCTCTTCCTTTTGAGACATTTCTGCTCAATGAGCCTTAAGTTGTTGCTGAAAAGCGGCCTCAACTTCATCAACAAATTACATTGTCATATCAGTAGAACGCTCGTAGATCGCATTCCATAAAATTCAGCGCATTGCATCATTGTGTTACTTGCGATAAAATCTGTGGGAAAAGTATATGAAAAAGATGAGAAACATACCAAAAAGTGCATGCACAAGTTGTCTGCAAGCTGAAATTAGAAAAATGTTCCGTCAGTACCGCTTCGAATTTCATCACATGGACAGGTGCACAAAGACACAATTTTGAAAATGTATAGCTATTGACGGCCATCGAACACTAAACTGCGCAAATCTTCACCCATCAGATTTCCACCCTGACGCGTGCAATTGCATCCGTCTCCACTGCTGCAGCCACATGCAGCGCAAGGTGTGAATGCAGCAAATAAAAGTTAGGTCCTACCATAGTACACACCCCCTCACATCTTCTCCTGCGCGCCATTTCTTGTGTATCCGAACTGGTACGGATGCAGCCATTACAAAAGAAGGGGAGCTGGGTCGGTAACCAGCCGCATTTAGTAGCCGTAGTGGCATTGTATTTAGCTTGATAATTTTCACTTTTGCATTCGTTCGATGCAACCTGAAACAGGTTTTCGACGACGCGTCGCATCGTCTCATAGTGCAATGCATGTAAATATGTGCATGCATAACAGGTATCGTGTGCATGTGCATGCATCTATAGCGACAACAAAGCAGCGTTCCGTGGCCTGTGTATGTGTGTGTGTGCGGGGGGGTGTTTGCAGGTACAGCACAACGTGTAAATTGCAGTTTAATAAATTAATTTTATAGCCTTTTCAATTGGCAATCGCTTGCGGTGAATCAAAGTGTTGTGGGTGAACGAGGTACTCGCTTGCACGCTACTAATTTGTAGGGCCACGAGCTAGCATGGTTCAAACGAATTTGCATTTCAAGACGGGTAGCGGTTCACATTTCATCGAACTGTTGTTTCAGTTATTTTATTTTCAGAACTTACACTCGGACTTTATGTCACGTGGCAATACGTCCCCATCTGCTTGAGAGTTCCATCACCGCGTCATCTCCCCGCCGTCGCCAGAGGATGGGAGGATGTGATGTCTCAGTCAATCACACTCCAATTGCACACACTTAATCCTATTGACTCGTACCCTTACCGCGAACTCGTCCATCTGATTCATCCTGTCTTGGCAGCCAACGGAGCACCAATTCATTAAGTGCAATCAAATAAATAACTATCAAATGGTTTCGCTCCCGGAGTAACAAAAACAACGGCGGCGACGACCCGCGCTTCGCCACTGCGAGTGATTATGTTATAAATTTCGCGCTTCGCTCCGCTACAAGAAGCGAGCGAGTGAGCGAGCGGCGTGAAACAGAAGGCAAATCTTTTGACAAATAGTCCTACATGATTACCATTTAGCTCTGCTGCTACTGCTGTTGCTTCTGCTGTTTTCGATGTTTCGATTGTGCGGATTTTTCTCAGACTTGAACAGATTCGATCAGACCCGGTGGAATTTCGGCAGTAAATTCCGTTTTTAGCCCGTTTGATGTTCTGCCTTCGAAAATAGCCCCACAGCAGCTTCAACGGTATCATTCTCACAGTCGTGTGAAGTCACATGAAATTTAGCGAGGGGAATAATGCAGACGGTGCATGAAGGTTTTGTGACTTTTGTGAAGTGAATTTTCAAAGCCACAGAACCGTGGATGATCCAAAAGTATCCTTTACTACCTGCAGGGTTCGATTACAAACGGAATTGAAGCATACATCAGAAACGGAATTGTTCATGTATTGTACCGTACCGTGTTCATGTACCGAATCAAAATATTATCAGTTTTCAAACTTCTGTTGATTGTGGTCTTTGATAAATTTCATAACCTCGTGACCCACCACTAATGAAGACTGATATTGTATGGCCAAAATTACCTTAAAAACGCTTAAATATTTTGCTTAAGTCGTCCATCCAAACAGGATCATAATTCGAACTTTTCATTGGATAGCTTAGTGTCTAAATTTATCCAGCTCTTAAGCACATAATGACGAACTAGAACTTCAAGTATTCAGAAATATATTTCGTAACTTTTTGTCATTCTTGCATTTACACAAAGACGTTCCAACCCATTTCCAGAAGTTAAATTTTTGTTGGGCCAAACTAAACACCGCGCCAAGGTGAGACTGCTTTGCTCTGAGCTGCTTTTTTGCAACGAGTAACTCAATGTACCTCAAAATTCAATCGACGTTCATCGATTTTTTCTCTCTGCCTACTCTGTTTACTCTCTTTGAAAAAGATTTATCTTAGACGTCAGTTTTATTTGTAACAATAGTAAGATTGTTCAGATCTGCTATTAAAACGGTGTGAATTTCAGTACCACTTGGATCAAAAGTAATTTGTCCGGAAAACGGCTCGAACTATGCTGGGAATGATTCCAAAGGGGGCCTCCGTCACCAGCTGCTGTATCTGTTTTGGAAGTGATTTTTGTTCTTACTCTTCCGTCTCGTCATTTACTCTCCAAATGTTGCTTTGATGCGAAAAGTGAATGACAGTGATTTTGCTCACTGAGCAATGTGAGTTACTCGAGGTGCCCCAAAAGCAACTCTGAAATTCCTCATGATTAAGAGCTGTCTTGCCCCTTGCACCGCGCCACCCAGGAACGCGCTAATCCACTTGGAGCATGAATTTCGTCACAACCAACCAGGGATGGCCCAAAATCATCTAAATTCAGTTCGCCAAGCAGAATCACACGAACACTAGCGTGTAAATTCATGGGATTTTGACAGTTCTTGCAGTAATGTATCTGTAATTTTAATACAATACATATGCAGCTGGAGAAGACTATATTGTTTAAGAATTAAAACAATTCATTTGAGCACCCACAAGCTCACATTTCTATTAAAGATTTTATTAATTTACAAACATCCTTAAACTTCACCGAGTAATTGAATTGTATGAGACTAGTTTAAAGAAATTCCCTGAGATTCTCTGATTTTCCAGGACTAAAATGGAATTCCCTGAAATTCCCTGATTTTCCATGTTTTGTTCATCATGTTATGAAACCTCTGAGGATGTGCTTCATGAAAAACGAAGCTATCAAAGTCAAGTGCTCTTTAACTGGTCCGTTTCACCGAAACTTGAAATAAAGACCAATGAACCCACGGGAGAAAGAGAGACAAGCGATTGAAAACTTGTTGGTAGACGCAGGTTCTAGAATACTGCGAAGCTGTTTGACTTCAACCGAAAAAGAAAGCTTGCAATCTCTTCGTCGCATCGATTTTGTTAATTGAAACTGATATTGTGACGCCCTGATGGAGAGTACGATGTATGGAACAAATAAGGGGCCGCTGAATCCATCGAGTTATAGAAAATATCGAGTTGTATAGAAACTCTAAGGTATCCATTTAAGAGCAATTTCACGCCAAATGCCGAATCGCACAGACTCTGTCTTCTCAGATTTGCATGAATCTTTGCATTGTTGTTTTTTTTTTCAAATAGGCAATCATTTACATTTGAACCTTTTTTTCAAATCATGCAACATTTCTCAGAATGGCAAATTCGATATTTTCAATGAATCCTAGCAGAAAAACGTCACTTCCAATCGACGTGACACCTGAGACAAAATTGCAGGCAAAGGTATAGCAAATACTGAAAAAAATATACACAGGTTATGATTTTTAGTCATTTTAGGTAAAACATCCAGTAGATGTGAAAAAGTTGTGCATCAAACCACCCTTTTGACGTAGGACTACGTCTGTGATTTCTAGATGGGGGTATGAAAGATTTTGAACGATAACAACTCAGCATCCCCTGGACCAATATCAATAATTTTACCACCAATCGATCAGATATATTCCTACGCATCTGTTACATTTAAGACTTTATCATTTCGTATGTTGTCGTTGAAAATTGCACGAATGTGCAACTTTTGTTTTGATAATTAAAATTATCACCCATTGCCTGCGAAAAGCGATTTCCCAAACACAGATTTCAATGTTTAATTCCATCCGGTGTTTTCCAGTACACAACGAAAGGCTCTCCCACAAGCAGGTAGCTGCCGGGTAAAGCAGGTGCATAAGAACGCCTATCAATGGTTGTTGGGTTCTGCTCTGACCGGCGATTTGCGACCTCTGTGCACCTGAACTCCGATTCTTACCTCCACGCGGTGCCCGGTGGGGTTGCTGGCGGTGATATTTGCCGTCAGTAATGCGAACAAGAACGGGGGATCATTGTCGTCACTAATGCACTATTGTTTATAAGTCGCTACACAGCAAAAAAATAATTTTGATATCACATCAAAGTGGATGCACTACAATCATGTCGAAAATGTCATGTAATTTTTATGACCACATAAATAAACAAATGCAGTAAAAGCAGCGTAATGTCAGTTCATGCATTGTATTAATGATAATTTTGTCCTTTTTAGCAAGTAATATTACACCATATCTTCGACATGATTGTAGTGCATCCACTTTGACGTGATATCAAAATTATTTTTTTGCTGTGTAGTGCCGGTGATGACGATGATAGAGCAAATAGGTTATAGCCAACTCTAAGTAGCCCGTGATTATCGCTACCTGGGGATGCTAATCGGCTGGGTGCTAGTTGCGACTTGGCCGTCCTGAATGAACCTTTTCCACCTCTTCAAGGTGGTTCGTTTAAAAGGACGTTAATAAATGGAAGCATGGAAGCCCACAAGCAGCTAGCTACCAAGGCCGACCTCAACCGCTGATCGGATTAAGTTCCAATCACCGTGTTTGGTGGTGTCCGGTCATCAGCATCAGCTGCAGCAGCAGCAGTGCTTTCGGCATGTGGCGTTGAACATTGTTCTCCAGTACACAACGAAAGGCTACCTGCAAGCAGTGAGCATCCATAGAAGGAGGAAGAAGCCGCACCGCTATTGATCGGAATCAGTAGCTCTTCGTGAGTTGCTATGGACCATCTATGTCAAGCGCGTCACCCCGAGCAGGAGAAAATAACTAATGAATACCTAATTCTGATCTGATACCAAAATTTGGTATTGACCATGACATAAGAGGTAAAATACCAAAGAATAATACAAAAAAATTGCATGAAAAATACTTTATAAATAACAAAAATCGATACTTGAATACCAAAATAATAACTGTGTGGTATTGTTTTGGTATTGCATTATCATAATTTGGTATTGGAATGGTATTGTGGGAACATTTTTTTGGTATTATTTTTTG